CTTGAAAGGTGTTTTTAGAATTTACAAATTACCTACATTTTGGCAAGAAAAGGCTGTAGTTTTACCACTCCTGAGTTAAATCGTACCGATAAAAAAACATCCTGTAAAATTTCAGTAGAGCTTATCACTGACTGCTGGAAAAAAATCTTGACCCATGCATTATGTGTTCATCATCACTTGGGATGTGCAGTTAGCTGTCCCAATGCAAACAACATTTATATCTGAATCTTAGCCATAATCCTGTCCCTAAAATGCGAACAGATGGACAAAGTGGTTTTGTTTCCATTAAGGAATATTGACCAACTGTGGAAATTATGATGACCAACTACAAATCATAATACAGAAAACTGAATGTGTGCATTCAAACATCCCTCCTCACTCAGATGAGAAGATGTTGAGGCATGGTAGGAAAGTGGTTCTTCGTTACTTACGTACGAGAAACTGTCTCAAAAACATTTAATCTTTATTGCAATTCAAATACTTAGAAGTATCCTAAATGTCCCAAAAATATAAAGAAAGAAAAAAAAAAAAGAAAAGCTTTCATGCTTATGAAAGCTTATTTGGAAATTCTTTCAGGATTTGAATAAGTATTTTGAAGAGGATATCTCAAGGTTATCTTACCATGACACTGTAAGTAACCTAAAATATAATGCGGAAAAGTTAAAACAGATGTTTTAGAAAACCTGCATGCTTTGGAAACAAATGAAGACTGAATATTCCAGAGAGACTCCAGTTACATTTGCAGCATTTTCTTTCTAAATAAGGACACTAGTTTTGATTTTTTGACATCTCCACTTGTAAAGACATTTTCTGTTCTGGATTGTTCTGTCTGTGTTTTGGTAACATATCTTGTTTTTCTGGATTTGCCTTATGATATCTCACAAATAGAACAAATTTTTAACTTAAAAAATATCTGCAAGAACTTAAGATAAATGCAACCAGGTCCCTTTTGATTTCCCTATTGAATTACATAGTGTAACATCTAAAAATGAGATGTTTCCTGTTTAACAAATATTTGACAATCTAAAGTAGGTTTTGATTTCTAAAATAGTTCAGAGAGAAATTCAGAGAAATACAGGATATACAATCTCAGTCTTTCTATGAAGGAGTATATCAATAGAGATTTCAGAAAACATCATGAATTAATTATGAATCTAGTATTAATTTTTAATATTTCTCACTGTCCTCTCAATATTTACCTATTTATTGCATAACTCTTTGTAGATCAAGATGTCTTCTCAGTTTCTTTTCATATTTACCTCTTTTTGTCATCACGTGGAGTAGTCTTTGTTAATACTTGCTATTAAGATACACCTTTAATACATCCAAACCCAGTGTTACCTAATTTGTTTTCTCAACAAAACCTTTCAGCATACAGTTGGGGAAAAATGAAATAAAGAAGAAAATACATGCTTGCAAGATGGTATACCACCCGAAAACTTACAGGTGAGAGAAGAGAATAAACTGTGCAAAAGGAAGATGTGGAAAAATAACATGACAATAGGTTTGAACTAACACAGCCTTTATCACAAAGCCGTATATTTAATTTTAGTAGGGATGGCAGAAAAGATCCTAAATACTCACAGTCTACTTCACAGTGGTATTATCTTCATAAGGACTGCAACTATTTGTACCTGCTACTCTCCTCTGATTTTAGAATAGATTACCATAGAATTCAAGCAGGTTTTGGACTAAAGTAACTCCAAGATCAATAGATGGTATAGAGAAGTCTCAAAAATAACCTGTATACAGCTTAAAAAACAGAAAAGATCCTAAATACTCACAGTCTACTTCACAGTGGTATTATCTTCATAAGGACTGCAACTATTTGTACCTGCTACTCTCCTCTGATTTTAGAATAGATTACCATAGAATTCAAGCAGGTTTTGGACTAAAGTAACTCCAAGATCAATAGATGGTATAGAGAAGTCTCAAAAATAACCTGTATACAGCTTAAAAAACGCTGAAAGAAGTAACTCCAAGATCAATAGATGGTATACAGAAGTCTCAAAAATAACCTGTATACAACTTAAAAAACATGTAATGCTGAAAGAATGTTTCAAAACCAAAAAGTGTGAACTTCTGAACATGGCTGTTCCAGTCAACTCTATTAACAACAAGGGTCTTTCAAATAACACCTTTCCTAGTGTGATCAATTAATATTTTAATAAATTTCACATCAACAGAAACAATACGAAAGAAAGCTTTATGGGGAGCATGGTAAATATACTGTTCTGCAAAGCTAACAATCAGGAATTTCTTTTTCTTGATTCTGACTTTATAATTAAATCAAGCAGGTGTGTGATTGACTTTGTAGTCACTGTGCATGTCCTGATACACAGACTGATCACTTCAAATTTTTATAATTTGATATATTATAGTTCACATCAGAAAAAAAATATTGCCAGTTCACTGAAGGTAGTAGCTATGAGAATAAAAGTCTCAAACTTGATCTGAAACATGACATGAAAAGAAAGGAAGAGGTGCACTAACATTCATTAATGCATCTGGCTTGCAAATAGAGGAAACATATTGTCTTCTTCAGACCTTTTAGTACTGAAAGAAATGTAAGTTATACTGGATGAAAATGGATGCTACTATGATTTACAATATTACATTGATACAGACAGTTATTGTGTTTGGCTAAGAAAATCAAAAGTTAAAGAATCGTTATGTGTTTCTTTGAATACATGTTAACTACATGTTCCTTATATGTTTCTCTGAAATAATTCTGTAATTTGGAATGTTTTCTTTCAGTGCAGAATTTCTGTGGATTATGGGATGTGAAAGGGAAAGATAACACACATCAGGTAATTTGCTACACTTTTTCTCCCATGACTTTGCTATTAGCTGCAAAACCATTCACCTCCTGCTGTATAAATCAGAAGACTGTTGGGGCTGCTTTAAGTTGCACTAAAAATACCAAAGTGTAAATATGGATGCAGGGGTTTATTGATCTATTGAATGCATTTCGTTACTAGGTATAAACTCCCCACCTTGACACGTCTGTTTAGGGAGGCTTATGCTCCTTTCTGCCTGTAGAAAAGTTCAATTAAGTGCCCTTTAGAGGGCATTTAGTGTTTGGGTTTCTTTAGATATAGATATGATTTAGATATAGCATTTATTACATATTAGATTTAGATCTAGCATTATAGATATGCTTTAGAAACAGACATCATGAATATTAACAGGTATGCAGAAAGTTTACAAAGTAGCTCAAAATCAGTAATTAATGCCTAGGATTAAACATTGCAAAACAACTGCATACGTAATACACATTCTCAAACTTTGATTTCTACTCTCTTCGAAATTTATAGCTTCCAGAGTATTCTTCATATCTACTTGGCTGGACACTGAAAAATGCAGAATTATTGTAATTTTTTTAAAAAAAAACTAAAGGGCAACAATTGAGTTTTGCAAATTACAGTAAGATTTTTAATTGGTCTAGAGGTCTACACTAATATTAAGATACAGCTACTGGACTAAGACAAATAAAGAACCAGTTAACTTATACTTGCAGTCATCTTCCTGGGCATTCTTTTCAGTTAAAGTAGTTCAATTTGGGTTTTGTACACTTACTTTGAACTCCATGGGAGCGAACTATTTTCCAGGTTTCTGAGGTGACCTCTTTCACATCGACTTGGTAGTGATGAATGGGCACACCTCCATGTGAATCTGGTTTATTGAATGAAACTTTGGCAGTGGTTTGTGACAGCTCTAAGACTCGTACTCCATATGGACTTGATGGCACATCTAAAAAAGTACAAACACCAATTTAATAATCAGCAGCAACTAGACAGACCTACACAATTGATAATCTACCCCCAAAAGTCTCCTTGTCTCTTTGAGGGAGAAAAAATAAATATTGAATATGGTGTAATAATGTTTGCATTAGACAAACAAGGTTTCTGCTACAGAGCTGTAAGAAAACCACATTAATTTCCTTGTATGCTAAAGTCATGAAAAAACATTTTCCATTTTTGCCTTTCTTTTATAATATGACCTTTTTTAATAGCTAATGTCATCATAGGCAAGTGTAAGAGATCAGTTTGTTTACTGTATAATTATGCAGAAGAGAATAACAAACTTGAAATCAAATTTAACAAAAGGAACAGTCACAGCTAAATAGATCACTCAGAGTCTGAATTTTTCTAAATGAGATTATAACAAAGAACTGTATAAATAATCTGGCCATTTTATGGAACTCTGAAATCCAGCTGAAAACATGAATCCTTTTTTGTCTTTTTTTTGAAAGAGTGGATTTCAAACTGCTAAGAAGATATATTAATGGAAGGTTTCTATTCTCTTTCACTTGAAGAAGTAATTTGCAAAACATGTTGAAAGAAATATTTTCTTAGAAATCAAAAGTAAATGCATATCTTTCAAAGCAGAAAAGTATGAAAATAGAGCAGGTGTTTGTAGGTGTCAAAATGCTACATGTGAAATAAAAACAAAAAACCCCAATAATATTTGGGACATTACATCTTTAAAACCAGAAACATTATATTACTTTCAGAATGCACAGAAGACAAAATACCAACTTTTCTAATTGTCCTACATTTTAAAGTGTTCTAATTAGGAAAAATGATATCAAAAATGGTAGGAATAATTTTAGTCCTGTGGTCAAAATGCCAGGGATTTGAAACACCAGTAAAAATTTCACTTCTGATCCATCTGAAAATTATTTGCATACCTTCTTAAAGATTTGAAATTGATTTTATCTCCATGTTATGGAAGATATTTTTGTAAGGACATATAAGAATTTGAGCCAAAGCCTATAATTTGGTTAGTGGGCAATAAAGTAAAGCATTTACACAAAATATTGTCTGCATTCAAAGGCTGTCAGACATCTGGGTATAAAGAGAATCAATCTGAGCTTTGTCCAGTATTGGTACTTTAATGACAAGGAGACAAAAATATCTGTAAAATATTTTAGAATTGATTTAAGGACATATTCAGTCACAAATTCTCAGGAAAAGTACATCTGCCAAAGCTGGTCTAAAGGAGCTGATTTGTATAACATTTTAATTATCGGAAATCAAATCTTTTTCAGAAAAAATCTCCAACAGTTGTCAGACTTGAGTGTCTTAATGCTATTATACTTCTGTGAATTCTTACAGTTAGCATTTCTGAAAATGAGCCTCTGGAAAACTCCAATACTTAGTGCTCATTGGGTTAAAACCAGCCTAGATGTATTTGCATGGATGAACAATTGTAATATCATATACTTCAAAGACACAACTGTATGAATCCATGACATCAAAGATTTTAGAAGAATGCAAATCTCAGCTTTAGGGATTCAAACCCTCAAATTGTTTCTTATTCCAGGAAACATTTGCCAGGATATAGGATGTTGCAGTAAATTTTCACCCTTCTCTGTGAAGCTGTATTACTCTGCAGAAAGAGATTCAGGATTCGTGATAAAATAGATTATGACCAAATGTAACCAGTCTGCTATACATCCAGGAGAAAATAGGCATGGGTTTTGAATTTTTTTCTAAATGGATAAAAATGCTGGGTTTTTTTAAGGAAAAAAAAGATTTTGTTCAAAAAACATACAGGTTTTTTTCTGTGATCACATGGAAGAATGAGTTATGAGTTGCTTGCTAAGCGAGCACTGATCCCAAAATCAGGAGGATGAGGATTAGAACCACCTGTGACTGACCCATTTCCTTTGAATTCTCATTACAGCTGAGAGCAATATTTACTTTTTCCTCCAACAGAGACAGTACATCAAGCACCATTCTGTACAGAGATTCCTTCTCTCCCTAGCTCAAATGACTCTTCTGAGAGGGGTGAGAAAAATACAATGTAAGAATACCAGCAAAGCAATCCAGGACAGCTATAGTAAAGCAGCATGGCACTGTATGACTGATGTGGATACCAATCACTTGGGAAGATGAATATACCTCTTCAGAAGTGAAGATGAATACTCCCTGGATTTAATTGTGTAAGCTAAAAACCGCTGTGGATGCCTCAAATATTATAAATAGCTTCAAAACTTAAGATTTTTCCTCTTGTTAGAAGTGTTCAAAATGAAACAAGAAAATGTAGGGTTGAATGAATATTTAATTTCACTCATGCTACTTTTATGGTAGTTTTTTGTATGCTATTTTAATAAGGAAATTCACTGGTATTTCTGTTTGCATCAAAGCAATTATTTTGGTCAATGGTATGAAACAAAAAATGTTATTTACATATCCACTCTGTTCTTGACTTTCCAAATGTTAAGGAGATCTCTTTTCCTTGTGTGTTAATGCCTGTGTATGTTTAACTATAATAAGCATGGCATAGGGAAGATGACATCCTTCAGGAAGCACCTTATGTTCTCTACTGCAGATTCAAGTACAATTTCTGCCAAATGAAGATATGATTCCATTTGGTAATAGGCATAAAATTAAGCTCCTGTGAAAAGCCAGTAAAATATTTTTGCATAACTAGCACAATGCAATATGTTTAAAACTCATCAAAGTGTAAAATACATCCACAATACTATTTTAAATATGCTTCCCACAATCCAAGCCACCCACATGTGTAGGCAACTTTTACACAGTTTTCAGAGTTGAACTATACCAGTTCTAAGGAAAAGAATGAACCACCTGAAGAAAATACATCAGGAGACACATTTCTGGTCAAAACCAGAAACAAATACTAGCAATGCTATCAAGATATAATGTAATATTTACTGTCTCTTTCAGACTCGACAAATCTATAACTTTTTTTTTCCCCAAAGAAGATCAATAGCAGCATAATGAACTGAATCTAATTCTGTAGTTCTCTAATGAGCATGAATTTGATTATGCAAGATATACAGACTTCTGGTCCTGATCTCATCAAACATTCCAGCATTTGAGCTATCCCATTGGCTGCAATTACTTGGAACATTGCCATGATTTTCATGTTAGAAATCTATAACTTTTTTTTTCCCCAAAGAAGATCAATAGCAGCATAATGAACTGAATCTAATTCTGTAGTTCTCTAATGAGCATGAATTTGATTATGCAAGATATACAGACTTCTGGTCCTGATCTCATCAAACATTCCAGCATTTGAGCTATCCCATTGGCTGCAATTACTTGGAACATTGCCATGATTTTCATGTTAGAATTGCAAGGCTTTCAATGTTCAGTTCAGCAGGAGTGAAGAATGATTTGTAACGTTGTGTGCTCTGAAGTCTCTGTCTGAAAGGCTAGAGCTATGACTGTTTCCTGTTCTTTTTCCTTCTAAAACCAACCAACCAAATGAATCTTGGAGGAGTTTACCTATGGGAAGTGACCACTATTTCATACACCATTGTGGATATAAGTTGAAGGACTATGTAGTAGAAAATCTATGGGATATCTTTCCGTGATCTAACGATCACTTTGTGATAGCAAGGATTCTAGTATACTTCCTTAGAAGTGCCACTGCTATCTTTTTTGTCATTATACTGCTGTCAAAACAAGGAATAATTCTTTACCAGTTCAGCCTCTAAATGAATATAAGACATTAAAAAAACCCAACAAGTGTCAGACTTTTTGTCAACTTCATCTCCTTTCCACAGCGTCTATTCCTCTGTTCAGTATGTGACTGTATGATGTTAAAGGAGTCCTTAAAACTAAAATCAAAAAGTATTCATGAAAATAAGCATAAAAATGCAATTGACATATTTTGTACTTAGCAGTTAACACTGGATTGAACAAATAAACTTTGTGATACAGTGATCTAAATTAAGAAGCATTGGGTTGTCTACAGAAACATTATGGCAGCTGATAGGGAAGTACACACAGAATTATGAGTACAATTTCATCTCCACTGATATGCAAATGGTCTTTCAAGTCTACTACAATTATTACCAAACCTGTTCAATAAATGACCACTGTTTATCACTGGGAATTTTCAAGTTGTTTGTTTTTTGGATAGTTTTATGGATGAAAATAATTCTTCTGAGAGTTTAGCAGTCCTGGTATAAATGGAGAAAAGGTGTGAGATGGTGTGAGAGCAGATTTATTTTCTGGTTAGTGCTCATCTCCTAACTCCTGTCAGCATGTTCCTGCTGCAGCTCTGCAGCTTTTCCTGTCTCTGTATATCTGGCATATATATATTGACTGAAAATAACTATGTCTAAATACTGAATTTAAGTAGCATCAGGACCTGGGCATGGAAAGAGATGGGGCTGGAGACCAGACCTGTGGAGTAAAAAAATCTCTATAAAATAGCTTGTGCTTGTGCTTCTACATCTATAAATGGAGGAAAAAAATCAATATTAAATCTACATAGACTTCTTTTACCAAATCACTGTGAGTTCTGGAAAAATAAGAATTTAGTTAGTAAACAGGATAGTAAAACAACTAGCAAATAAATGCATGAATAATAAAAATAAGATACATGCACACAAAGCAAAACATTGTTGCCATGTTGATAGTTTCACACCTATGGTAATTGAAAATATATTGCTGTTTGTCTTTTTTAAATAAAAATCCTTTAGCTGATGCTGCTAAGACATGAATGGCAAGTTTCAGAACAGTGAGCTAGAATTTAAGCCTGCCCATAATTTTGTGGAGATGAATGAGCTTTTGGCAGAATATGATTAACTTTTCCAGTACACTATTCTGCAGGGAAAATTAAGTACTATTTCTCTGATTTTCTTTTACCTGTGTGAAAATGCAAATACTTGGAAAAAAAGGAAAACCATCCATTAACCAGCAGTAAAGTGGCAGCATCAAAACTCCAGACTAGTAAACTTCTAAATTTGATGTTGTACTCTTTGCCAGTTATTGATTAGCCATATCATTTCTTGAGCGTGGCTTTACTCCATAAAACAGGTTACAGGATGCAGTTTCTGTGAAGCTCAATTATTGCTTTTCCCATGTCTTCATTTCCTTTTGTTGTCATTATTGCCCATCTTCACTGACTTTCTGTGTATACAGGATGCTTAAAGAATATTTAATTCCATAGAGTGGTGTAGGAGTTCTCAATATTTAATGACACCATTGAATGCTTGCTTTTTAATTCTGAATTTTATATATATTTAATTCTGTAATATTGCTGTAGAAAATAACAGATAAATCATACAGCTATAGCAGATATAGTATCTCTCATTTGCCCAGAGAAGCTGTGGATGTCCCTTTCCTAGAAGTGTTCAAGGCCAGGTTGGATGGGACATTGGGCTAGCTGGTCTCATGGAAGGTATCCCTGCCCACAGTAGGGGTGTTGGAACTAGATGGTCTTTAAGGTGTCTTCCAATACAAACCATTCTATGCCTTTTTTAAGCATTCCTATATGTCACCATATTTAAATTCTGTAAAATCCTTGATGTACTATAATATACAACGCAAAAGTTGTAACAGGGATGATTTGATAAGACAAGTTTGAAATTCACCAACTATTAATTAATTAATTTGTAGACTCTGTTGTTCTGTCAGCAATTGATCCTGTTAACACTTTGTCACTGTAAATCTCTGTGCTGAGCTGCAGTTCCAGGCACAATGTGGTGGGATCAGAATCTCCATTTTCATCAAAAATGAAAGTATCCTTTTAGGTACAAAGACTGAAAGAAAGACTAAGGCAAAAAGGTGAATCAGACTATTTATCTGAACTTTTAAACTGTCTGCCATTGCAGAATATAAGAAAGAAGGGGAAAGTCTAGAATGAGTAAGACCATGAGAGCCTTAGAGGTGAATCATATGGTTTTCTTTTTAGGGGATCCAGATTCAGTCCAGCTGCAACATTGCTGCATGCAAAATATACATTAATATTTAAAAAAACCCAACAACTTGAAAAATCCAGTTTAGATCTGTGCCACAACATTAAGATTTACCATTTTAAGAAACTGAATTCCTTATTCCAATAACATAGTCCTGGACTACTGATGGCCACACAATTTTATATTTATCTACACAAAAACATTTAAAATAATGATACTGAGATCTCCACAAAAAAAGAAGAATACTTAGCTAGTTCATACCAACTCTCTGCATACTGATAATTCACATAAACTATGACTAAATTAGATCTGGACAAATCCAGGAATATCTGTGCTCATCTCAGGCTCTGAGAGCCATTAGGACAACCTGCCAAACTCACCTGGCTTGCCAAGATCTAATCTTATCACAGATTAAAATCAGAGTGTCAGTAGACTTCTAAAGCACAAGTTGTGGCTGTGACATGAAGTAATTAACTTACAGAGGCAAGAAATGACTGTGGTTCATTTCACATTCTATATGTTACTGGTAACAATTTAAATGCTTAAGTAATGAAAAAGGAAGAGGTCAACCACATGGCATTTTTAAGAGTTGATCACCATGAGTCAGGTGATGAGCACATCTGATTAATCTTTCAAAGCTCTAAAGTTTCTAAGCCTTTACCACTAACGGTCAGTACCTTCCAAGTGTGAAACCTCAAATAGTCTGCCGTTCTTCAATTGCTTTGAAAGGTTTAAATGGACCTCAGGCTGATTCAGTAGATCTGTATAATCTGAGTGAACAGTTACAGCTTTCCTGTCATACAAAATGGTATGACTGCAAATTGCATCTAAATTCTGAAAGAAACCTTTTTTCTTTTTCTATCATCAATAAGTCTAATTTCTTAAGGAAGGCAACAGAAATCAAGATAGTGCCATTGTGACAGTGTGATCACTTTTTAAGTACCAGTAAATTTTCTTTATTTAAAAAAAAAGTAGTTTGATTCTGCTGAAATCCAGCAAAACATGAAAATGGAACAAAACATAAAGCAACAAGTCATTCCTGCAGAATTTTAAGAGAAGACTATTCAGTAAAATTATCATTATTTGTAAAAATTATGCTAGCACCATACTTTGCTTAATACTGTCTCCCAGCTAGAAATACTATTTATGTTTCCCTCACAGAGCCTTTGTGAATGTATGCCATGCCCCAGCATTAGTATTTACAATCAGCCAGAAGGCAATCTAGGCTGCACTGAAATGCATGAAATTATTTTATAGGCTTTAATATGGAAAATAACAATCATTAGGTCTTCCTAATCTGCCAAAGTAAAGCAACAGAGGTAATAAAACTGGGAAGAAAGCTGCATTTGACATTTTATACCTGTAATTATTATAATGGTTTTATCCTCCATCTCCCTGATTGTTTTCCATTTCCAGCTGAGGCCCATGTAAGTGCAAAACTTGTATCAGTGAACTGCATGTTTTTTTCCCAAAAACAAAGTCTATTTAGATGCAAATGCTAGAAATGTCAATCTTTCAGGATACTGAATATTACACACTATACTACTTTAAGTAGCACATGGCATAATGGAGCCCTGACACCCGCAAACCCAGTATTTTCCAGCCCCACATAAATACTACACTACAAATGAATTCTTTAAGGATACTTGTCCATTATAATTACTAAAAGATCTGCTTTGTGTTCCTATTTTCTGCATTTAATATTGTTATATAGAGTCTCCATACATTGCTCATGCTTTACATAATCCCATAATTCTTTATTTACCCTGATGTTAATTTTTATGTTTATAATTCCAATACATATTTTTTTAAGTGTTCATAGAGTTTTCTGAAGGACTAACAGAAAAATATTAAGCAAACCATTGCAAAAGAAGAGAATATAAAGCTTTTTGAAAAACTGGCATCAGTAACATTTATGATATAGCTGTATTAAAAAGCCAAAACATTATAGCTTGTATGGAGTTATTTGTTCTTCCTTGCACTTCCAGGGGCTACCATGTGTGAATTTTATGAAATAAAATGTCAAAATATCATGTTCTTTTTCAATTAAAAATGCTAATTTCTTTGTATTGATTAATTAATTAATATAAAAGCAGGGGAGATATACATAGCTAAAATTATCATGCAGTATCATGCATTGGGATGGGATAGCGGTCTGCAAATCTAAAGACAAAAAACAACATTCCACAGAATACCTTTTGGGGTGCTCTCCCATGTGTATACATATTTATGAAAAACCAGCACACCAACAAACACAGTATTTTCTCATCTTTTCCTCTCCCAAGAGGTAATACACCATAGGGATGCAAGTGGGGGATTTTCCTTCCCTTTTCTATCATTTATGTTCATGACTTCAAGACTTTTTCTCAGTAGTCGTATGTAGCTGTCAGAGGAAGGTAAGATCACAACACAGCTAACACACCAAAAACGTAAAATGAAGAGTAATAGATCTTCTGGATGATGTAAAATTGTGCCATGTAGAAATCTGAAATTTTCTCAATAAACCCCCACATTTCCCTATTTTAGGAAGCTCAACACTTTTGATGATTCTTCAAAGCCAAAAATATAGTATAGTAAGAGTGTGTGCTAGTAATTCATACTGTAGAGGTAATGGGAAAATCTTTCAATACTGTGTACAAAGTGTGATAAGTTTATCAATAAACAACTGTTTTTTTACAATTCCTGAGACACGAAAAGAGTGTAACTATGCAAATTAAAACACCAGGCTGGTAAGAGAGCCTCCTTATGACGGGATGTGCACATTTCAGCAATTCACCTACAAAAGTCCTCCTGGTAGGGCTCCAAAGTGTTTATTTTCTTATTTTAAAAAAACCAAACAACAAAACCAAAAATACAACAAAAACCAAACAAACCAACAAGATCAAAGCAAAAGTTATAACTAAAACATTCAAGAGTGTAAAGAATATATATGTTGTAATGAAAACCAAATACAATTGTATATATAGAGAGATATAAATGATCTTATTTCTACTTGTCCCCTGCAATATGTGTCAGCCAGTCTGGAGGTATAGTTTGAGCTGAAAGTTAGATGATGAAAATGGTCCATAACAACACATCCCAAGGGGTGTATAGCTCTCAGTATGGCTGTATTTTTAGTACTCTAAACTGTATTACACCTCCATAGATGCCATTAAAGCTGGCATAATTTGCATCATCAGTGTAATTCCAAATGCTTGGAGACCTCAAAGCTGGCTGAGTAAGCATTAGTCTATTCCACAAGTAAATATAATTGAAAGCAATTCTAAGTTATTCTCATTTTGTCTCAGTTAATAGTTATTTCTGCCAAAGAACAAACATATAGTCAGATTTTTATGTTTGCCTAAAAAACATTAGAAGGACCTAAAAATATTCAGAAAGTTTTCAGCAATCCATTGTAGAACATCTCAGAGCTCAAATTAATTCAACATAGCACTCTGGGTCAAATTCTGCTGCTGAATAACTGAAAATAACTGGAAGTGCAAATGAAGATAGAAATTCTCTGTTGAAGTATTTCAGTCTTTTGTCATTCTTGTTTTATCAAGAGAACACCAGGGAGAAAAAGGAAAAAAGAATTTCCTAATTCTTACATTTCCTGCCTGCAAACCATATGTTTCTCTGGTGAAATAATGAAAATACACTGTTATAAATGTAGGAGCAGTAAGGCCATAGGAAAAAAAGTTAGAATAATTTAATTTTTACAAATTTCAGAAGGCCTTAAAATGAAATAGAAAGAAGATTATTATTCTGAGGGAACTGGTTTATTTTACTTTATATTGCAACTAAAATTTTAGAGAACTGAATTAATGGCAAACAGTCCATGGAATAAAATAAACAGAGGATAGTGTATCTGAATTTAATTTTGTTAAAGTTGAAAAAAATCTAAAGTAAGGGAAACCAGATTATAACTTACCAGCCTGACCAAGTGTATACTCCTGATATCTTGTTCCTATTCTGTTTGTTGCTGTACAATTATACCGTCCAAAATCACTGTCAGATGAGGGAGCAATCTTTAAAAAAAATAGAGTTTGTAAATATTAGTTGCTAATAAAATAGAAAAGTTTTTTTAAAAAATCAGAAATAAAAGTATGTTCTTCTTAACCAATATGCAGATGCATTCTTACTTCAGCCTAGATCTAAGTAGATCTAAAATAGATCTAAATACACCCTTTTTCATGCTAAACTCCCCCTTCTCAAATTCAAATAAGGAAATCCATAATGGAAAGGACTAACATGGTTCAACTTTATCATTTCAGTTGTAAATAAGAAAAAAAAATATTCTAATAAACTTCACATTTTTTTTCCACAGATGCTATTTGCAAAAATGGTTACATGAATAATATTTTAGTTTTTATTGGTAGCAGGATCCACAATACACCAGACATTCTTGTGGGGGAAAGAAGCTGTAAGGGGTGTGGTAAATAAGGACTTAAGATAGAATAGACAAATACCACAGGGAGCTAATGCCTTATTGGAATCCAGCTTACCTGACCAACTGCTCAGGAGACAGGAGAATGGAAGAGCACTTAGAGAACCACGGACTGTAAAGCATATTTTGTGTTGTTAAGCTTTACTTAAAATAAATAAATCCTAAAAATGATCTTCAAACAAGAGTAAGACTCTGTCACTTTAAATATACCTCCTCTATTACAAGAAATGAGGCTACTTGTTGAACTTCAGGAAAAACACATAGAATATTTTCCCTCGTGCTTCAGATCTCAAGCAGGACTTCCACTCTGATTAGTCCGTAGGTCTCAACTTTTTTTTACCATGGCAACTGAGAAGTTCATACATAGACAACTTGACACTAGACAGAAATGGAGAAAACTAACTTCTTCACACCAGTGGAGGAAGACAGTATGGTGTACCTGTATGTTGTACCTGTAACAGGTGAGACCAGGGCTGGAGACACTGGTTACTCATTTTTAAGAAATGATTAGTTAAGGACCATGGCTCGCTCTACAGTATTGCTGAGTTGTTCATTGTTTAGTCAAGTTAATAAAGTAAATGAATAATTAAATCCACTCTTTGTCTTCTGCCTTTTCTCAGGTTTTGTTCTTACATGTATCATTCAGATAACAAAAGGGAGCTTAATTCTTATTTTTCCAATGCTTCCATGAGGAATCAGTTGTTATTAAAGCCAATGCATTTTATTACCACTTTAACTTCGTACTTTGCTCCTGAATGAAGCCACACTTTTTGTGTATACCAAGCACTTACAAGACAGTCACTCTAATTTTTAGTATTAACTCGATGGGTGAGTTTTATGTTTACTTATGTATTTACTTCCAAAAAATGTAAGTTACATTTTTGTTTACTGAAGATGGAAAACTGACCACAAGCTATGCAAGTAAGCTTTATTTTCTAACTGCTCATAAGAAACATGGAGATTAATCAGTTAATATACAGTTGTTTGATTTTGTTAGCTTTTTTTAAGAGCATTATTTATTAAATTCTGAGTCTTGTCCTTAAGTACACTCTATAGTACTTGCAATGCCACCAAGCTGAGGACAAATTTAATTTATGCCACTATGTTGATTTTCATTTTAGGCCTTACCTCTAGAATCAGTTTTCTTCCTGTACTGTAGGTCTTCAGATGTGTTGTATTTTTTACTGGTAAAACTAATTTTCCTCTTCTCCACTGAACTGAGGCAGATGGATTTGCTAGCACTTCACAACTGATATTAATGGGATTGCCTTCCCAAGAGTAATACATGGTTTGATTTGACACAAATGTTGGAGCATCTAGAAAAAGGAAGTAATATGTAAGTATATAAACTGGTTTAGTAAAATAACCTGTATCCAGGATTTTGTGTTCACAGAGAAATTTCAGTTGATTGCTGTCCCAGTGTATTATGGACCATGAAAGTATTAGGATTCAACCTTGAGTTTCTCAAGTCTTTATCTTGGTAGCTTTCTTTCCTGAAACGATTTCAGCTGAAATTCTCAGGTCGAGAATGCCTGTGATCTACATTCAGCATTAGGCAATATTAGGCAGATACCAAGACATTATCTCAGAAATGAGGCAGACTATTTCCCCTTCAGGATTAGGAACTCTTCAGCCAGACTCTTGTATGTCAGAAGGAGGTGTCCTACAAAACTTTTACATATAATCTGTTCGTGTGCCAATTTTGTAGTGTATTATTTTCCATGAACCGATTACATTCACTCTCCAAATTTTCATGTGCTACACCTTCACTCATTTTTCACAGGAACTGTCTCATACTTTATGAAATACTTCTAAAGAGATATGTTTATCTGTGAGACAAAGACTAAAAATAAATAAATAAATAAGAGACTACCCAAAATGTTGCAATGTATTCTACCTAATGCAGAAAATATACTGTGTGCATTAGTGCACTATTTAGGATAACCTTTATACCAGTTCCTTATGAAATCATCAAGCTACAGACAAGGACAAAAATGATTTGTTTTCCTTAAAAAATACTGGATATAAATTGCTCTGTTAAACATAGCCAAACACTGAGTCTGACACAGAGGAAACTGCTGGTTAGCAAACTAGCTCTGCTTTTCAGATCAGAATGTCAGTACTGACAAGGATTATCTGTTCAACTTGCTGCTTCTCTGGAGAGCACAAACAGTTTAGTGGTCTCTAGAAAATGAAAGGTAGTATCTCCTTCCATGCTCTTCTACTTATGTCTTGGATAAATAGTGCTTTTGTCTATCAATAATTATTTGTAGTTTGTTTCCAATTTTACTGATTGTATCTTAAGAGTGTTAAGAAAATATTCTTTATATTATATTCAAGGAAGCTTTCTTAACAATTTAATTCCAAAAGAGAATTATCAGTTACAGCTGGTGTCACGGTATCTCTTTTTCTGTATTGAAAATGCATTTTTTAAATTTTGATAAATAGCTTCTAAGTATTTCTAGGTGTGTCCCTGGAAAATCTACTCTAGCCTTCTCACAAATATTAAAAACTTTAGGGTAGAAAATTGCTAATAGGGCTATCAGAGACCAGAACTGAGCACATTTAAGTAAGAAGTAAAATTGAATTTCAGGATTGGTTAAAACCCACTTCCCTTTAGTTTTTTTTTCTAAAATGCATATTTTCAACCTTTTTTCTGTTTGCCTTTGTCAAAAAGTATAACTTCTTGATGATGTATGCTTCTGCCACATGCAGGCACAGAGGCTTTGACCAAAAAGAACTATCAATAGTTTTAAACCACAGATCAAAGCTGCTCAATGCCAGCAGCATCTTCTTTAATAACTCTTCAGCCCTTATTTTTGTAGGAAAGAAAGTGGTTTCATCTACGTAAGTAAAGCATGCCTGACTATGAATTTATTTGCCAGATACAGGAGCTCATCTTTGTGTTCCAAATGTTCTAGTAAGTAGTTCTAGTGCTCTTGATTTTCATAGACCTTTAAATCCCATATTTCATCTACTACACAGCTTAATGCAAAGAATGGACTGTCAAACAGCCTTCAGAGCATGACACCTCACACTACTGGAGAACATGAAGCAAAAAGCAAAGTGCATATGCCTATTATATGGCTAAGTATGGTCAGGAATCTCAGAATACCAAGGCTGAGAGCCTTGGCTTTTCCTCTGGAAATGAATTTAATTCTGGGAGCCACCTGTAGGAAAACTGTGCAAATTGACTTCTGTCTGTTCAATATATAGATCAATAATGTGTTGAACATATCTGTTTGTTCATATTTTAAAAGAATAGGCTACTTCTGGACTGCCATCTCTACATGACTGCAGATACTAACAGACATAAACATAATTAAACACAAATAGTACTATAAATCTATCAAATAAATATATATCCCAAAATTAACAACTCACAGATATAAAGCATTCCCAAACAAAACAAAATAAAATAAAAAGCTTTGTGATTTCCCCCTCAAAAGTCTGGGTTAAAACGCTTTGCAGCCATTTCTCCAGCAGTCAAAATCTCCAATATAGCAAAAACAGAAGAGGACTGTGCTGATGGCTTGATTCAGAGAAATCAACCTAAAGCAGCTGATTTCTGATTTTCAAGTCAGGAATAGATTATGATGCCTGGAGTGATGTTTTACACAAATAAAATAACTCTGGAAATAATTTTATTATGGTAGTCAAGATATATATTTCCTAAAAAATTGTAAAAAAATGGTAAGGGAATAATTGATTTATATAGAGAAATTTTTTTCTTGTATGCTCTTCATCACTACCTGCAGTATATTTTGCTTAAATGGTTACAGAATTAATATTTATCAGACAGAAATACATAATATGTTTAATATAAAATAGAGTATGAAAAAACAACAAACCTTAAAGCCAACTTTGAAAAAATAAGCTTGACTATTTTATACATCTGCAAAGTCTGACTCCTCTAGTTTTCTTGAATAACTAAGAAACATATAATAAATATAATAAACAGTATTTATCAAGAAATTTTATCAACTGAAAATGAAGTAAAACCAAGCAGAAATGAGAAGGTGGACCTCATATGTTTACATCTGTTGAAGATATTTAAATGCAATATATGGACTCTATATAGAAATAAAAGCTCCCATGCAGATCAGTTAGAAAATTAAAACCATTAAAAAAGGAGAAACATATAATAAATATAATAAACAGTATTTATCAAGAAATTTTATCAACTGAAAATGAAGTAAAACCAAGCAGAAATGAGAAGGTGGACCTCATATGTTTACATCTGTTGAAGATATTTAAATGCAATATATGGACTCTATATAGAAATAAAAGCTCCCATGCAGATCAGTTAGAAAATTAAAACCATTAAAAAAGGATAATATGCTCTGCTTCTATGCTATGCAACTCATGATTAATTTACACCTGAGAAGCAAAATCAATGCAAGGTGCAAATTAACTGTTCTTTTTAAGCTTTTGTACATAAAGTGCTACCCAGTTAAGATGACATACTGGACTTCTAAATAGCTAAATAGAAATAGGAGCTTGAGTACTCTCAATATAAAAAAAAAAAAAAATCAACACTGATGACATTTATTATACAAAGCCTTTGGCACTTTACTGAAAACAAAACAATTAAAAAAACCCCAAACCTGCAGAAAACTACAAAAGTTACCATTCATATTAGTTAATATAGGCACACAATATCATAGAATGATTTGGGTTGGAAAGTACCTTAAAAATCATTTAATCCACCCCTCCTCCCATGAGCAGGGACACCTTACACCAGACCAGGTTTCTCAAAGCCCCGTCCAACATGGCCTTCAACACTGCCAGGGATGGGGCAGCCACAGCTTCTCTGGGCAACCTGTGCCAGGGCCTCATCACCCTCACAATAAAAAATTTCTTCCTAAAACATAATCTGAAACAATCCACTCTTAGCTTAAAACTTGTCCCATGTCTTATCACTATAGGTGAAAAGTCTCTGTCTTTCTTGCAAGCCCTCTTTACATACTGAAAGGCTGCAAAAGTCTCCCCAGAGCCTTCCTTCTCCAGGGTGAACGACTCCAACTCTCTCAGCCTGTCTTCACAGGAGAGTTGTTCCAGTCCCCTGATCAACTTCATAGCTCTCACTTGGACTCCCTCCAGCAGGTCAATGTCTTTCTTATTCGGAGTTTCAGAGCTGGATGCAGCACTCCAGGTGGGGGTCTAACAAAAGGTGAGTAGAGGGCTAGAATCACCTCCCTCGACCTGCTGGCCAGGCTGCTTTAGATGCAGCTCACGATATGATAAATTTCCTAAGTTCTGTTATAAATTTGAACTCTAAAAGATGGAGTACTATTTTGGAGAGATGAGGCAATTCAATTGAAAAAGATGCCTAGAAGAAACAAAGGCTGTTTCACAAAGATATAAGATTAAACTGAACTATTCTAAGAGAGTAGGATTCTAGAAGCAATTATAAATTTAGAATGGTATTTTAGAGTAGTTAATGTTACGGCACCACAATCAGCTAAACTCAAGCTGTTCATTTTCCCAAATAAGAAACTGACAGGTCAGCACTCCAATTAGTTCTGGATGATCTGTGTAAGAAGATTATTTAAGAGAAGCAAACTCTGACCTGAAAGCTGTCTCTAGTGTTTAGATATCCTTATTAGGTATAATGCCCAGGAACACTGATTCAAGAACAGGCTAATACATCACCTGTCTTGTCCAGAAGGGAATTAAATTAAAGACTTCAAAGATCCAGCTCTGGTGTACGTTCAGTGTTATAGACAAAATTAGATATAGCAAATTACCTGGTTCAGTACATGTGTCCAGACAACTATAATTAAAACTAGTGTGCAGAATCAGATTTGCACTTCTTAATTGAAGAACATGGGTTTTCAAACTGTTGACTATTTGTTCCTCAAAGAATTTGTTTTTCAGGATCATATAATGAAAATATGTGACAGATTATCAGGTCTAAGATGCTGGGATACTTCTTGAAGTATATTATTGGAAGCTTCTCTTTCAGATGCTTGCAGAATTTTCCCATAATTTGTGTGCAATAAACCACATTCTCCAGGAAATCTAGGACAGTCCTTGCTACTGTTCCTGCAAAAGTACCTTCATTTTTTGCAACCCTGCCACAATTTGGTTAATAGCTGTCAATCTTTCTCTTGCATTTTCTCCCTCATACCTGTTTTGCAACAGCTAATATTTTAAAATTAATAATTTTCCTTGGATATAAAGTAAAATAACTGTCACATATTCAATTGTAACAAAGAATAATATTAGAAATAATACTAGAAAGACTTCAGAAATGAGGCTATGTGGTTATATTTTAATCTATAACCATCCCTTAAAAGAAAAAGAGGAGCTG